CACCCGAGATCTTGCCCGCCTGATTCCTTCCACATTGGTATCCATTTTCTAGGTCTAGCCTTTACAGTAGTACTGTCAAAGATTTGTATTACCTCACTACTTGGGTCTTTCCCAGTGGGCTTCTGGTTATCCCAGTTCACAGATTTACATAGCCACAGATGCCCCATAACTTGCCAGTTATCTGGTGCGACTGTGTTACAGGTACTGATCCCAACTGATCGATAGATAACCGTCACTATAGTACTGGTTTCAAGGACTTATCTTGTGTTTGCACCACCTGATGCTGGTTTGCATTCCTCTGTATAACTCCAACATTGCACAAATGCCTGTATACACCAATGTAACATAGGTGGTTTTCCAAATTTTCACCGTCAGTGGGTTTTGAACTCCCAACCTACCACTTGGAGGATTGACAACTTATCTATTTTACTAAGTAACCACACCCAATACAATATTATAATTATTAAAATATTAATAACATATTTAATATTATTAAATTTTTATTTGAATCTATTATGTCAAAATTACAAACTTAACTAATCATTTAGTTAATTTTTATTAGATGTTTTAGAAATTATAAAAATAGCTATAACTAGATAAAAAAATTTTATAAAAACCAGATATCAAAAATTAACATCTAATTTAAACACATGATAAGCCTGTAACCAATAGGAACTGATATTTTTAATAGGTATTGCTGGGTCTCTTTATAATACCCAAGCCCGGCCCGTTATTTTACAAGCCCGACCTGTTATTTTACAAGCCCAGCCCGAACCCGGCCCAATTAATCACGGGCTTAAAAATCGGGCCCAGGCCCGACCCAACCTGCAAATTTCCGACCCGTTGCAAACCCTAACTGTAATCATAGGCAGAAGTTTGTCTGATTGGCTAATAAATTCAATTTAATTTTACATTATTTATACAGTTTAGAGTACTTTTTAAAAAAACGAAAACCAACCATAATAAAGTAAAAAAACATATAGAAGGTTTCATTAGAGCTATAGGACACCATAGCCAAAAATAAGATCTAATTCTCGTCCGTTTAAAAAAGTTAGTATAGTAATAACTTCTCAAAACCCGATAAAATCAAGCTAACTTTTTTAAACGGACGAGAATTAGATCTTATTTTGACTATAGAGTCCTACAACTCTAATGAAACCTTCTATATGTTTTTTTTTTACTTTATTATGGTTGATTTTCGTTTTTTAAAAAAGTACTCTAAACTGTATAAATAATGTAAAATTTAATTGAATTTATTAGCCAATCAGACGAACTTCTGTCTATGAAACTGTAATGGTTTTGATCTGACCTACGATCTATAAAAGTTAGTGTCTATAAAGTTAGTGATCTCAAATATAAATTGCAGTGTAAAGAGTAAAAAAACAAAATACCAAAGATTAATCCACATTGCCTTACGAAAACATAAATTCATGGAAACTGTAATGTTAAATGAGAATTAATATTTTCAAAAGTTAAATCGTTCAAAACTAAGTTCTGACCAATAAAAGTGATTACTTAAAGAAACATGAACTTTAAAATAAAACTTGGACTCAAAAGCCAATCGTAAAGGACGGTAGTAATTTGTATATATCGAAAGTTTAAAGTGCTCAGTCGTTTAACTAAATTTATGTAAACGTACAAAATCAGTGATAATTCGCCAAAACACTGATTAAATTCGAATGTTAAAATAAAAAGGTTTTAGAGAATGAGCCACGCGATAAAATTACTCTAATATTCATATCGTATAAATCTGTATTTAAAAATGATGAGTTTAATAAAGAATTTTTTTTAAAATTCTTAAAATTTACAAAAATTTTATTAATTTAGTCTAAACTAAAATTATTTTTAGAAGCTGTCAAAATAAGGAAAACAAAGTGCCAATATAAAATTCAAAGCAAACTATTTATGGTTACACTTTTTAAATTTTTAGATGAGACCTAAAATATCGGAAATTTAGCAGACAAAATTGCCTGCTACGATCTACAAATTAAGGGATATCAGAAATGATTTGGGCAGCCAAAATGGCTACGTATGTGTTGTCTGATCTCATCATAAATCTTATTTAATGAGTTACAATCACACAAATGGTTCTATTGATAAAAATTATGTTCTATTCTAAATTCTATTGCTCTATTCTATTCATCTATTGCTGCCAACACTGGTTATAATATAAAAAATTAAAAGATACACTTTCAGCTTTACAATATACCGAAGTAATTTGGTAATTGATGAAGGTATGTCTGAATATTTCAATTTAGCCAATAAGCCATAAATATAACACACGTATCTATTTAGTAATTTGTTTCCAAGAGTTACTTTCGCTAATTTATTTTATTGTGTAATTTTATTTTCACATTTAAGATTGTTAATTAATGTTATAACAGTTTGACGTCAACAAGACTAGTTAGTATTTTTATTAGATTATATAAATTTAATATATTGATAAAAGTTTTATAAAAACTTTTTTAAAAATCCACCGTTATTAAAGCTGTTTTCATTATTTTTGGGACATCCGGTAAAAAAATTAGCCGAATGATTGTCGATTGTCGATAAGTTTTTGATTTCGGTATTATCGGATTACTGTAATGCCAAAAATCCAATTCCGATAACACTGAATTCAAAAACTTATCGAATTCGGCCGAACGAATTTTTATCAGTTGTCCAAAAGTTTATGAGAACAGCTATAAAACAAAAAAATTTTTGCATATTTCAAATTTTGACCCGGCTGTTTATAAAAATTAATTTTGCATGACCTTAGCGTTAGGGTTAATTTAGCTTCTTTTTTTTTTAATTCGTAATAAAATCTTGGTTTATGAAAATCTTGCAAAAATCAACCAATTACAATAAAAGCCGCTATGCTGGTTTAATCGAGTTCGTTTATTAAAGTAGCGCCAAATTTCCTATAATGATGAATCTGAACCGCATGTGCCTTAAACAAATAAATATGTATGTTAATAATTAGTGCTTATGAATCAAATAATCGGTTGTACAGTAAAAACCTCCATAAATGCGCCCTCTATAAGTTCACACCCTTTTTTTTAAAAAAAAAAAAAATGCATACAAACTCTGACTCAAATATATACATGACCTCTATAAATCATTTTTTCCTTATTGTTCTCTAAGTGCATGTTGGTATAGTTTAGTCCCAAGAGCGTGCACTTATAGAGGCTTTACTGCGATTGATTGTACATAATTCGTAATTAAAATCGGTTATATCCATTATCATTATCGTTATCGAGCATAATTATTAAAAAATGAATAAATCTTCTTATTCACGGAAAACTTTTAATATCTTACCAGGAATTTCAAATAATTCTAAAAAAAAAAACTTTTATAAAACATATGGTTCATGTTCAACATGCAACGGTCCTAATACTCATAAAAAATGGTGCCAAAAATGTAATTCAAATCGGTTTCGTAATAATTTTGCGAACTGGACAAGTGGAAATAAAGATATCGATAACTTTATTCGAGAAAGTCAATTAAATGCGATGAGTCATAATAACGTGTTAGAATGGGTACCTTATGATCAATTCTATAACTTTGAATTTGTCGCCAAAGGTGGGTTTGCCACTGTATATTCTGCTATTTGGACGAATGGCTTTATTGTACATTGGAATTCTGAGAAAAATGATTGGGAAAGGGAACAGAAATGGAAAGTTGCTTTAAAAATTTTGGATAAATCTTCTAAAATTACTCCTGAATTTATTAATGAGGTAATTTTTATTTACATCATTTCTTATCATTATTATTATTATGATTAACTTTTTAATTTATTAGATAAAAGCATGTTTAAAATGTGGTGGTGGTTATGGCTTGATTAGATGTTATGGAATATCTCGAGATCCCGTTTCTAAAAACTATATCATTGTATTATATTATGCACATAAAGGAAATCTTAGATGTTATTTGGATCAACATTATGGTGAACTCAATTGGATTCAAAAACTTAAAATTTTAAAACGAATTGCCGAAGGACTTAAACAAATTCATCAGGCTGGTTTTGTTCATCGGGATTTCCATAGTGGAAACATTTTACTAAGTAAAGATGCTGAAATTGCTGATTTAGGCTTCACTGGACCTGCTGAAAAACCATATTTAGTTAACAAACAAGTAATTTATGGCGTTCTTCCTTATATTGCACCGGAAATTTTACGTGGTGATAAATATACTCCAGCAGCTGATGTATATAGTTTTGGAATAATAATGTATGATGTGTTGTCCTGCATACCTCCTTTTGATGAACGTTCACATGACGCTTTTCTCGCGCTTGATGTTTGTCTTGGTTTACGACCAGCAATCGAAAAAGATTGTCCTAAACCTTTTGTAAACTTGATGAGATGCTGTTGGGATGCAGACCCTAAAAATCGCCCTAAGGCTAAAAAATTGTTCAAAGTATTAGATGGTTGGTATTGGAATCTTTATGATAAAATAGAGACGCCCGAAAGTTTAGCATTCATAGCCTCCGATAAAAATCTGCCGCAACCAGGTAGTGCAGCTTCTAGTAGAGCCGTAACTCAGACACATCCACTTGCCTCTTACACGAGTGGATCCTTTAGATTTCAAAATCTTCCTATGCCAGTAAATTCTCCATCAATTAATTATCGATCGATTTCGGCTTCTTATGGTAGCACAACTCGCGATATAACCGGTATTATTATTGTTTTTTAATAATTGCTGACATTTGTACATGATATAATTGAAAAATTTTTATCAACACTTCAAAGAATTTACAGAGCAAGTTGATAAAACAACTATATTAGGTAATTGAAGAACTAGAAACAGATAATATTTATTTTAGTTTTATTATATCCTTACTTTTTCTTTTTACTTTTGTAGAATCCACAACTGTGGGATCCACACTTTTAGTAACTTCAGCAATCGATACTTCAGCTACATCAGAAGGTATATTAGATAATCTTACGATCGAAATTAACAAAACAGAGTATATATTAACTTCTTTTTTAAAATAGATACATATGATTCGGATGAATATGAATATGTCACGAGACAACTAGATTTGTCATTATGAAGCAGAATTTGATACCGATTAATAATTCTTACTCCAAGCTTATATTTTAAGGCTTAAAAATTTGGTAATCACCACCGAGTAGGGATAAGGAGTTTTTGCGATATTAATTTACAAGTTGTGCTTCCAACATGTGAATTATTTGTTTATAGCAAATCAACAAATCCGTATAGCTCTGCATTCAATGCCCTCTAGAATATATTCTGAGTATATTTCAATGCCATCATTCAAAAACCCTGACTCATATCCGGGTATAAATTAGTCTTGCAAGACTACTTGCATCTAATAAAAATGAGCCGTTGTCTAAATATCAATTACTCTTCTTTTCACATGGCATCTTCCGGATACAAATCAATTGGTTTATTTTTAATTTATGTTAAATAATCAACTAATAAAATTGTAAAATACAGTAACAAAATTATAATTATAATTTTATTAAGGGTAAAGTGCGTATAATCCAACCCATATTTTAATTTATACTAAATTCAATCTCTAATTAGGATATTAGAATTTTAGGTAGCGTTTCCACAAAATTTTTTTCACCCCCTGTAATTCTACGTATGCCGTAACTAATGGTAAAATGCCGTAATGCATAATTCAGTACTTCTAAATGTTACAATTAGATTCGTTCACATTTTTTTATACGTTAAATGAAATTAAATATCCAGTAACTCTTGATATAGCGCATTGTTTGGGCAATTAGAAAAATTAAGTTTATTATAGTGCGAACCTTGATTCGTTGTATCAAGATTTTGCTTAGTCTCCGTTGTACCAAGAATCCGTTATATTGAGAGTCAGCTGTGTAAAATATTCATTAAATAGAATTTATATTAACGCGAATAAATGAAATTGAATGGATAGAAAGTTCATCAGATCAGAACACTATCAGATTTTAATTATGGTTGGATCGGTTTTAAGGAGTCACATTATTAATTATGCATATAGACTGTGTATGCATTAAGTCATAAGGACCGTTTTTGTATTAATAATCAAACCCCAAAAATTTTGAAAGTATTGGTCATAGTATTACTACCACACCCAAAATTAATAATACTATAAATAACTGATAACACTAAAAATTATACATATAAAAAACTGCTTAAATACGACAAAGATATCATTTGGAACACATCATTTATTTATATAGGCTGCTGTCAGGTTGATTGACATTTTTAAAAAAATCAAATACCTTGACTTTAACAGCTCGTATCTTGGTGAATTTTAAAGTTATTTTAATGATTCAAGAGTTAAAAGAAAGACTAGATATCAAGCTTTCTTTTGGTTATTGAATTATTAAAATAGCCTTAAAATTCGTCGAGATATGAACTGTTAAAGTTAAGGTATTGGTTTTTTTTAAAATGTCAATCTACCTGTTTTCTATTGACGGCAGCCCATATGATCAAATGCATATGATAGTAACAACAGCATGAGGACAAAAAATTGACACGATGGTACGTATATAGAACAATAAATAAATCAAATATCTGTAAGATGCTCTGAGTCGTTATCGCGGTCCAAAGCATCTTACAGATAGATATTTGATCTATTCATCGTTCTATACCAACGATAACTTATAAGTATCTACTGTATTTATTTTTATTGTAAACAAAAAATATATATATATAAATAAATCAAACACAGAAAATGGATGACAGGTGTTCGTGAAAAAACTAAAAAAAATATAATATAATATCATATATACAAATAAATAAATAAAACAAATAAAACAAATTGGATTCTAGCTTTTTTATGGCTAATTCCAAAATGCCTCTCTAATTAGGGTTGTTAAATGGAGTGGCATACTCCGGAGCAACTCCGGAATGAGCTCAACTCAAAATGGAGTCATAGGCAGAAGTTTGTCTGATTGGCTAATAAATTCAATTTAATTTTACATTATTATTTAGAGTAACTTTTTAAAAAACTAATCATAATGAAATAAAAAAAAAACTGTATGGAAGGTTTCATTAGAGCTGTAAGACTCTATATCCAAAATAAGATTTAATTCTCATCCATTTAAACTAGGATAATGGAAACCATTAGCAGTCCGAAGGACTATATCCTGTATTAATATTATTGATTGTTAATGCATAAATACGTAAGCCACTATTTATTGATTACTGGATTAACAATCTAATTTTTTACATGTCACATATGTCACATATGTCACATGTGTACGTTTGATCTACATTAGAACAACCAATTATATTGGAGAATTTGCTAACAGACGGACATTTGTGTAACCCATTTACTCAACAGTTAAGTCCTTCGGACAACAAGTTAGTATAGTAATAATTTCTCAAAACCCGATAAAATCAAGCTAATTTTTTTTAAACGGTGAGAATTAGATCTTGGAGTCCTACAGCTCTAATGAAACCTTCTATATAACTTTTTTTATTTCATCATGATTAGGTTTCGTTTTTTTTTAAACTGTATAAATAATGTAAAATTAAATTGAATTTATCAGCCAATCAGACGAACTTTTGCCTATAAGGGTTAAAGACATGTTGGGGTAAAACTGGCAACTTTAAGCAAATCTGGAGTGATTCCAGAGTGAACTCAACCCAAGTTGGAGTGGGTTGAAGAATAGCTCAACCTAAACTACTCCCACCCAACCCATTAACAACTCTACCTCTAATAGTGCTCTCTTATTATAAGAATAATATCATCCTCCGCCGTCTCTGGTGTCCAATGTGCATCCTGAAAACCCCATGATAAGATAAACCCCGAATCAAACCGATTTTATCATTCACCGACAATTAATTTACAGGCAAGCTTATTTTTACCGACGATTAATTCACAGACAAGTCCATTTCACAGTTTATCTTCTGATAGCTCGTTTTACTAACAAGTTTTTTTTACAAATTGCACTAACCTTAACTCTAATTCTAAACCCGACTTTAACAATAATAACTATACCTTGTCAGTAAAAAGAGCTATCAATAAAAATAAACTGCAAACTGAGTTTGTTTGTAAATTAATTGTCAGTAAAATAAATATTTTTATCAATAAGTGATTGTCAAAGACAACCAGGACAATTACCAATTTTATGGATTATGTAAATAGTTTTACCTGCAACAATTATTGTAAATAAATCAGTATTAGATTTATAGTAGAGCTAAAACAATATATAGTAAATGCTGGTTATTCAATAAATATTATTTTTGATTCACATTATACTAAAATTTTATTAGCTCAAAAAAACAATTTAATATAGTATTATATGCATATAATATAAGTATTGCATTAATAAAAAATATATTGGTTATGTTTTCTTTTTTGATTTATAAAATTTGATTAAAAATAAAAATAGTAAGATATATTTTAAAATTTATTTTTGTATTATTAGAAAATTTTTTCTTAATAAGATCAATAATATATAAGTTATAAGTTAAGTAATAATTTGTCTTATATATAATAATTTTAAATATTAAAGAATTTTCAAAAATTAGATAATTAAAGTTTACTAAGTAATTATTCTTACTTATTCTTATCTAATCTCCAATTAATTAATTAAATTTTATAAATATTAACAATTATAATTATAATTATTTATAATTTTTAATAATAAAAGAATAGTAATTCTAGTGTAGTAGTTGAATTGTTATCCTTCAAGTGACAGGTTTAGTATTCAAATCTTACTTATAATGAAATTTGAAAATTATATTTGTATTATAGTAACTGCTTCTTAATAATTTATTGAATTAAAAAGATGATCTGTAATTTTAAATATATTATTTTAAATAAATATTTAAAACATTTATGTGAAGTATAATGTTATACATATATAAAGAAATATTAAAAAACCAATATTATATAAAACTTTAATACAAATTTATAATAAGATCTTTATGTCTATAATACTAAAAAACTAAAAAGATAAAATTCTATTTGAAAATCTTAATTAAAGAAATAAAATATGTAAACTTTTAACAATATTATTAAACTAATAAAAGTCTTAAAAATAGTTAAATAAACTAAATAACAAATATATATAAAAGTATATAACTAATTAGACTATTAGAATCTGTTAAAGAAAAAAATTCTTAATTGTATATCAAAAGCTTATAAACAAGTTTACTAAATTATCTAAATTAGTAGTTTAAGAAATAAATTCAAACTAAAAAAAATATTAAAAAAGTAGATATTAGGATCTTAGTAAACTTTATAAAAATAGAAATATATAGTATAATTATAATAGTTTAACAAAATATCTATAATTACAAATATTAATTTATTATAATATATAATATAAAATTAAATTAGCTATGTATAAAATTATATATGAGAACAAAATTATTTCAAAAAAACAAAACCTGAAATTAAATTTAAAATCAAAATTGTTTTGATCTATCTTTATTTAAAAAACAAAAATTTTTTGATATTTTTTTTAAATAAATAAAATTATAAGAAATATAAATATATAAATTAAATTTGCTTTATCTTATAAAAGGTTTAATTTGCTTTAATAAAGATAAAATATATCTTTTTTGAAAACTTATTTTTATAACATATATATATAAGATACAAAAGACTTCAGTAAGTTTTTTATTAAGAATAAAATAGTTTTAAAGATTTGATAAGAACTAAAAACTTTGAATAGGTTGTGCTTTGTAAATATTTTATAATACAAGTTAAATTGCATATATAAGAGTGAGTCAGTAGAAACATATCAAATTTTTTTTAAGTAAATTTTTTTAAATCTTTGAATAAAAATAACTTAACAATAAATAACCTAAGCAAATTTAAAAAAAATTTTTTGAATTAATTCTATAAACTTGTAAAACTTATTTAAAAAAATTTGTATTAAATTTAATTAAGCCTTTGTTAAATTATTTTTGTTTAAAGATTTAAAAAAATTTTATTAAAAAAGATTTGGTGTGTTTCTACTAATTTACTCCCATATAGAGAGTTTAAATAACAAGAACTATAGTTGGCTTGCAGATATAATATTTAGTATAAAATTTATATAGTAATATATAAATAGGTTATTTAAATTAGACATT